TTTAACCCCCACAAGATTTTCTTCGCATATATACGAGAGAAAGAAAATTTCTTTCTATTGTACAGAATTTTTTTTTTTTTTTTTTTTTTGTTAATTATGTTATCAAGTTTTGGTGTCGCGCGCGATAGCCACAACGAGAAATGTATATAGGAAACGACGATGCGGCGTTAAGAGATAATGTTTCCGGAAGTAGGAGTGGGGGGGAATCGGGTCGCCTCGTTTGTTTTCAAACTTGACATTATCGTCATTTGCATTTTGCGCTAACAACTCGACCATATAGTTAGTTATGTACGAAAGTAATCAAACAATCATTACACTAATCGAGTTTTGAGTTATTAAAAATTGGATTAATTTTCTTTTTTTTCTGTATCAAATAAATTTTTTTTACTTTTTAATTTTTTTTCGTCATATTTTTCTTATTTGAAAATCTCATTTCTTTAACTTCTGTCAGACATTTTTTTTTTAATTAAAATTTTAAAAAATATTCAAGAACCGTTTTTTGAAAATTGGCTGCAATCATTTTTGGAATTTCATTCATTTTTTTGGAAAATAATTGAATTCCCAAAAAAACATTTTATTATTCATAAAAATAATTGAATTCTTGCAAACGATTTTATTAAAATTTTCCAAAATAGTTGAATTTTCGGGAATAATTTTGTTATTTACCTTTAATAAAATTGAATTGAATTTATATTATTATTATTTTTAAAAATAATTGAATTCTTATGATAAATGTTGTTGTTTATGAAAATAATTGAATTTTGCAAAGAATTTTATTAAAATGCCTCAAAATAATTGAATTTTCGGGAATAATTTTGTTATTTTTATAATTATTTTATTTTGTAGTTAATAAAAAAAATTGTAAATTAAAAATCGCCATAATTGAATTCTTTTGAAGAATTATTTATACGTAAATAATTGAATTGTCGGAAAGAATTTTTTAAAAATCTATAAAAGAATAATTGAATTATTTCAAAAAAATTTAATTAAAATTGCGTATTTAAAATAATTGATTTCTTTCGAACAATTTTATTAAATTATTTGAAAATAATTGTATTCTTGTGAAAAATTCTAATATTTTTGTAAATAATTGAATTCTTTGAAAGAATTAAAAAAACAGTTTTTTTTAAATAATTGATTTTTTCAAGGAATTGAAACTAAATTTTTAAAAATGATTCCATATTTCGAGCAATTTCTTTAAAAATTTTATTAAAAATAATTTAAATCCTGCGATGAATTTTGTTATTTATGAAAATAATTGAATAGTTGCTAAGAATTTTATTAAAATTTTCAAAAATAATTAAATTCCTCCGTAGAATTTTATTATTGATGAAAATAAATGAATTTTTGCTTTGAATTTTATTAAAATGTTTAAAAAGAATTTAATTTGTGTGAAAAATTTTGTTTTATTTGAAAATAATTGAATTCTTTATATGAATTTTAGAAACATTTTTTTAAATAATTAATTTTTTCGAAATATAATAAATATTAGGAAAATTATATTTTAAATAATTGAATTCTTGTGGAAAACTTTATTTGTAAAAATAATTAAATTTTTCGATTAATTAGATTAAAATAGTATTAAAAATAATTGAAATTTTTTGATATGTTTTTTTTATATTTGGAAATAATTGAATTCTTGCTAAGAATTTTATCAAATTTTTTTTAAATAATTGAATTTCCGAGAAAATTGTTATTATTAGTGAAAGTAATTGAATTATTGTGAAGAATTGTATAAAAATTTTGTTAAATTGATTTTTTAAAAATATTTTTAAAAATCCTATTCAAAATTAATTGAATTCCAGTGGAAATTTTATTATTTAAGAAAATAATTGAATTTAATGAATTTTTTTTAAATAATTGAATTGTTTTTCAAAATTTTATAAAAATACTGGATATTGAAAATAATTGAATTTAGAATATTTTTTGAAAATAATTGAAGTCTTGTAGAATTTTTTAATAAATATTAATTTAAAAATATAAATTTTAGTTAATAATTTAACTTATAATTGAATATTGAAAGCATTATAAGAAAATAATTGAATTCTTGCAAAGAATTTTACTACATTTTTTCAAAAAAATTGAATTCTTTTGAGAAATTTTATTAAATTAGTAGATTTTTAAATTCATCGAATTGAAGAAAAGTTTTTAAAACAATTGAAATTTTTACAAGAATTATATTAAAATTTTTTAAAATAATTGAATTTCTGCGAAGAATTTTCTTACATATCAAGATAATTAAAATTTTTACGAGAAATTTTGTTAACGTTGAAAATAATTGAATTTCAACGAAGAATTTTATTAATTTTGAAAATAATTGAATTTTTGCAAAGAATTTTTATTATATTTTTATTAAATAATTTAATTCTTTGGAAGAATTTTATTAAAATCCAAAAAAATAATTGAATTTTTCCAAAAAAATTGTATTTAAACTAATTGATTTCTTTCGAAAAATTTTATTAAAATATTTGAAAATAATTGAATTCATATGAAAAATTCTAATATTTTAGTAAATAATTGAATTCTGCAAAAGAATTTTAAACGAACATTTTTTTAAATAATTGATTTTTTCGAGGAATTAAAATTAAATTCCTAAGAATAATTAAATTTTTCTATCAATTCCTGTAAAATTGAATTAAAAATAATTGAATAGTTGCTAAGGATTTTTATTAAAATTTTTGAAAATACTTGAATTCCTGTGAAAAATTTTGTTATTTTTGAAAATAATTGAATTTCTGTGAAAAATTTTTGTTATTTTTGAAAATAATTGAATTCTTCCTAATTTTTTCTAATTTCCTACTGTCGATACTTTCTATTTTTGAAAATAATTTTTTCAGTCGAGTTGTATCAATGAGACATTTTTTTCTTCTACTGCTCTTTAATAAGCTTTCAATTTCGAAATTTTGTCATTACGACAATTTGTTTCTTCCAATTGAATCAATTTTTTCTTCTACTGATCTTTAATAAGCTTTCGATTTCGAAATTTTGTCATTACGACAATTTGTTTCTTCAAATAGAAACAATTTTTTCTTCTACTGATCTTTAATAAATTTTTCAATTTCGAATATAATTTTGTCATTACGACAAAATTTTTTTTTTTCCAAATTGAAACAATTTTCCCTCCGTATAACAATTTGTAAAAATTCCCTTCTTTCAATTTAAAAACAAATTTTTTTCTTTTTTTTTTTTAAACGAAAACTGACGAAAGTTATATGAGTTTGTTTAGAGTTCTCCCCTGAGGCGTCCAGGCGAATTGCAAGAAAAGTACTTATGTAAATTTCACAATGCAACTCTCAACATGTAATGCGTATGAGTGTATAATGTATTCCGCATTTAGAGACATTTTAAGCGTAAAAAGGGGGAGGAATTGAGTCTGAGAAGCTAATGCAACTTGCACGTGACATCACGAAAAAAAAGAGAAATCGCTTCCATGTGTTTTACTCATCTGCGAAAACTGATTTAAATTTTTCAATTTTTAAAAAATTTAAAAAAGAAAATTTTTTCCTATTTTTAAAAAAATTGAAAAAGAAAATTTTTTTAAATTTTTAAAAAAATTGAAAAAGAAAATTTTTTTAAATTTTTTAAAAAATTGAATTTATTTTTTTTATAAATTTTTTTTTATAAATGTATTTTTTTTATAAAAAATACATTTTTCAAGAGTCAACATACTCGTAATACTTTGACTCTTCAAAAATGTATTTTTATAAAAAAAAATTCAAGTTTTTAAAAAATTTCCATTTTTAAAAAATAGAAAAAGAAATTTTTTTTTGTCGAAAAGGGACGATTGCGCTTAGAAAAATAATTGAAGGTACATCACCTTTGGTTTGTGTTTCCATGCCCTCACCTCCATCCCCTCTTTTTCTTCTACGAACCATGAAACTAATTTTTCCCACTGACCTGAAAAAATAAAAAAAAATTATTATTATTATTATTATTATTATTATTATATAAATATAATAAATAAAAATTATAAATATAAAATACAAAAAAAAATATTAAACATTAAAATATAAATATAAAAACTCAATAAATTAAATTTAAAAATGTAAATAATAAAATTTAATGGTTATTAAGATTTGAAATATTTCTCTTTTTCATTAAGAACGTCATTCTAATTTTAAACAGTTATTTTTTAATTTTATTGTATTTAATTTTCTAAAAATTTAAGTAATTAATAATTTATATTTTATTTTTTTTTTTTAAGTATGTAGACGGGATTGATAGCCAAAAATTCAATTTCTAAACCTTTATGATCGAAATAAAAATACATTTATAAAACAGTGGATAAAATTAAATAAAAATTGTAGCAGTTTTTTTTCATTAGAACAAGCAGTCAGTCTGATTTATTGTTCCAAATGAAAAATTACACTTGACGCAGGGAACAATTATTATCCTCTGAAAAAGAATTTTATCCTCTCTATATGAACCGTCACGTTTCCCAATTAAAAGAAGAAAAACTATGCATTTAACATTATTCTCTATATCCCCAAAAATACAATTTTCTTTTCAAATTATCCTTATTTTATTCTATTTGTTAATATTTTTTTTTATTTATTCGATTCTATTTATTTGATTTGTTTATTTATTATTAATTTATTATTTTTTATTCAATATTTTTCATTTAATAGTTTTTAGTTGATAATTTTTTATTTAATATTTTTTTTGTTAATACATTTTATTTAATACTTTTAAGTTAATTTTTTTTATTTAATATTTTTTTTGTTAATATTCTTTATGTAATATTTTTTATTTTTATTTAATATTCTATATTATTTTTATTTTTTAGTTAAAATTTTTTATTTAATATTTTTTTGTTAATATTTTTTATGTAATATTTTTTATTCAATATTTTTTATTTAATATTTTTTATTTAATATTTTTTATTTATTTTTAATATTTTACATTATTTTTGTTTATTTTTATTGTCTTTTTTTTATTCCTTTTTTTATGAATATGTGACTGAATTTTAGAAAATCAAATTTCCTCTTTACTGTTTACAGCAAAACTATCTGATGAAATTCGGGTACTTGCCACAAAGTGATCTAGAAACCGGAAATTTGAGAACTGACGAACAACTCCGAGATGCCATTAAGGACTTTCAGGTATATTGTTAATTGTCTATTTTTAACATTCGCTTATTTATTTTTTAACCCCCCACTTTCTAAACTCACTATAAAAATTTTTATATATTCATTTCGAATAATACACAATTTTTAAAATTAAATTTAAAAAAAGTTCAATTTTCAAAAGAAAATTTTTTAATTTTAAAAAAATTTTAAATTAAATTTTAAAAAAATTTTTAATTAAATTGAAAAAAATTTAAAATTCTTAAAGAATTAAATTAAACTTAAAAAAAGTTTCAGTTTTTAAAGAATTTTAAATTAAATTAAAAAATTTCTATTCTTCAAAAGAATTTTAAATTAAGTTAGAAATGTTTAAATTAAAAAATAGTTTTGAATTAAATTTCAAACATTTTAAAGTCAAATAAATTTTAAATGCTTTTAAATTAAATGCAAAGGAATTTTCAACTAAATTTAAAAAACTGAAATTTCAATAGTTAACCCATAGAGTGGCCACCATTATAATTTTGACGAATCTTTTTATCGAATTGACTTCTTATTCAAAAATTATTTTTAACAAAAAACTACTAAAATTTATGCAAATATACCGGCCCTCTAAAGGTTAAAAAAATTATAATTAATAATCTTCATTCTGATCGAAATATAAAAAAATAATTTTAAGAATTCGTTTTCTATTTTCAAAATTTACAATTAGAAATTTAGACGTGAATAATTTTTGGACCCGAATCTCGTACAATACAAATAATCCTATACAGTTACTTATGATTTACAATATAGAGATTAAATGAAATTGAATTGGAATCATATACACGACGTTCTTCATGATTAAATTTACATGAAAATCGAGCTCATCAGTTGGAACGAAATATGCGTTTGTGTATAATATAGATCAATATCAGATTTTTTTATTTATTGTACCAAAATTTAAGTACAAACTATTTTTGAAATATTTTCCTAACCTGTTATCCAACAAACTAAATATTAAAAATTTTTTGAATTTAAATTTCTTCTACATAATAATTACCAAACTCTGAAAGCCCTACAGATTGAAATTTTTTTAATTTCTAACCCCTTAACTTTTAAAAGTTAAGGGGCTTGAACTGCTTTTTTAAGAATTTTTCCATTTCAAAAATTTTTCATTTAAGGAGGTTTAAAATACGTTAAAATACGTAAATGTACCAAAATTTAGCCCTCTAGGTCAAAATGACCGAGTTTTGAAAATTTAGACTATAACCGAACTATAAAGCAACAAAAATTAACGAATTTAATATATTTTTCAGGGGTTTGCTGGAATTCCAGTCACTGGGGTAATAGACGAGGAAACAAAAAAGAAGATGGCCTCAAAAAGATGTGGCTTACCGGATAAACCAGATCCGAGATACGCACACATGAGGCGGCACAAGAGATTTACAGTTCACGGACAAAAGTGGAATTCACCAAATTTAACTTGGAGGTAAATTTTTTTTAATTTTGATCAATTTTTTCTTCTACTTTTTATAAATAATTTTTCGATTTCGAATTTTAATCTCTTTACGACAATTTGTTGCTTCAAATTGAAACAATTTTTTCTTCTACTTTTCATAAATAATTTTTCGATTTCAAATATAATTTTGTTACTACGACAATTTGTTACTTCAAATTTCGATTTTTTCTTCTACTGTTCATAAATAATTTTTCGATTTCGAATTTTAATATTGTCATTACGACAATTCGCTTCTTTAAATAGAAACAATTTTTTCTTCTACTGTTCATAAATAATTTTTCGATTCCGAATATAATTTTGTCACTACGACAATTTGTTTCTTTAAACAGAAACATTTTTTCTTCTACTGTTCATAAATAATTTTTCGATTTCGAATATAATTTTGTCACTACGACAATTCTTTTCTTTAAATTACAATTTTTTTTTCTACTGTTCATAAATAATTTTTCGATTTCGAATTTTAATATTGTCATTACGACAATTCGCTTCTTTAAATAGAAACAATTTTTTCTTCTACTGTTCATAAATAATTTTTCGATTCCGAATATAATTTTGTCACTACGACAATTTGTTTCTTTAAACAGAAACATTTTTTCTTCTACTGTTCATAAATAATTTTTCGATTTCGAATTTTAATATTGTCATTACGACAATTCGCTTCTTTAAATAGAAACAATTTTTTCTTCTACTGTTCATAAATAATATTTCGATTACGAATATAATTTTGTCACTACGACAATTTGTTACTTCAAATTTCGATTTTTTCTTCTACTGTTCATAAATAATTTTTCGACTTCGAATTCAGAAGAGCAGCTCTCACCCACCTGGAAAAAAAACAAATATTTTAATTAACAATCTAAAAAATAACTAATCGTCACTACTGATAACAATTGAACTAAACAATCTGTAAAAAACAATATCGATTATAATTTGAAACGTAAATTGAAGCATTGATGTAAAATGTAAAATATTTTAGGAAACTACTAAAATTTTCAAAAAAAAATCATAACGAGAATGTTAAAAATTTCCGCAAAAATATCGAGGGAATTACATTTTGTTTTTTCTTTTTGAATAAAAAACTCTGTAGTGTAATTTTCTCAGGACGCAAGGAAGAAATGGGAATTCTGGTGGTTCTAGAAGAGAGAGGATCTTTCAAATTGGATGAAAGTGGTTGGCACTTGGCAATCGTGGAAACTTGAACGTTTTGCCCTTAAATCTCGTCACGTAGTCATGAACTAGTCGAGAGAAATATGCTGCGCACGATGTACGCCCACAAGAGAATTTCTAGTGGGCGGTTGTGGACTTGCCGTTTTGGCAGTGAATCTCCAGAAAACTAACTCTATACGACGAAAGGACCCAGGTGGCCAAGCAATTCAGTATTGCCAATTTTTTTCCTTTTCTTTTGCCCCAGAAATCTTTCTCTTTAATTTCCAAATCAAAAAAAGAATTTAGAAAGGAAAAATCGAAAAATAAAAAAAACGATAATATATTTTTAGTTTGACTCGAAAGAAAACTGTCACAAATAAATATTTTCTGGATGTAAAGACAAATTTACAGAATTTAAAAAAAAATTCCACAATCGGTAATATCGTAATCTGTAAGATTCCATCTTTACCGACAGTGTCGGTAAAAAGTATATTTATTGATCCGTACAGTGCAGACATCTGCGGACTTTTAATCAATTAAGAAACTCAATCTCGAGAGTAGAAGTTGAAATAATTAATAAAATTAAAAATATTCAATTATTAGAAATTAAAATAATTTTAATACCAAAAAATTTTTTAACTATAATTAGCAATTAAAATAATTTTATTTACCAAAGAATTTCTGACTCTAATTAACAATTAAAATAATTTTATTTACCAAAAAATTTTTAACTATAATTAGCAATTAAAATAATTTTATTTACTTAAAACTTCAAAATTATAATTATTCCTAATTAAATTAATTTTCTTTCATTTATTTTTAATTTCTCTATTAGTTTTAAAAGTATTTTCGAAGAGCATAAAATAATTCTAGTTAATTCTAATTCAAAAATCCACAAATTGATCAATATTTAAATTCCAGGTCAATATTTCAACAGAAGATTAAGTCAATATTTAAACAGAATATCGATCAGTGTTTCAAAAAGAGAAGTTTGAAATTTAAATCAAAAACCCATAACTAAATTCGAATCAACTCCAAAACTTTTCTATCAAAACTCTCGAGCATTCAAAAGGAGAATCTATTTATGTAAAAATAGTGTAAATTATTTTTCCACTGAATATTAAATAACTAATGAATTTTTTATATTTCCAAAAAGGGGGAAGAGTCGAAATATTTTTTTAATTTAAAATTATTCTTTTGAAATTATTACAAATTAAATTATATTGAACCAAAATAAATAAATACAGAAAATAAATAAATATTTAAAAATTAAATCAGTTAAAAAAATTAATAAGAAATAAATAATAAATAAATAAGTAATAAATAAGTAATAAATAAATAATAATAAATAATAAAAAATAAAATCAGACTAAAAAGTATTTTGTAAAAGTTCCTTAGAGAACTATAGAGTCCTAGAAACTGAATAAAGAAATTAAATAAAATAAATAAAAGTTAAATTTTAGATTAAAAAAACATTCCAGAGACTCGTTTTTTAAGAAAAAGAATTAACCCATCAAAATTGAAAGAGCAACGACAGAATAATTTCCCTTTAAGAAAATGATCATTTTTTTAGCTTGCGACTAGAATTCTTAAGTTGGTCTTTAAATTTCATTAGGATAGCTGCAGACTACAAAGTGCAAAGAGGATAGAGGAGTTAATTATGACCCAAGAAGAGATCAGAGAGCTCAGCACAAGATAGTAGGGAAAAAAATGAAAGAGAAAGAAAATACAAGAAAAAAAAGGTCCATTGACCTCGTTTTCTGGGAAAATTCAAGACAATCTATGCAGAATTGGTCGAAGGTTAGTCACGTGCAATGTATTATTTTGTGAGATAGAGGAAATCGATTCCTACTACAGTAATTGGAAGCATATAGAGAAAGAAAGAGGGAGAGAGAGAGAGAGAGACAATTTCAACCTTTACCCCCTCATCGATTCCTACTTTTTTTCACCTCTAATTTCATATTCCCCAGGAATTCCCCAAGACAATGGAATTAATCAGAACTCACAGCAAATTATACAGGACAATTGTTTCCCGTGTTTAATTAAACTTACTTCAGAATTAATTTTACCAGCAAAAAAATACAATATTTCTCCGGGGGAAGGGGAGGTTTTTTTTCTAATTTTCCTACTTTCGATAAATTCTATGTTTTAAAATAATTTTTTACGGTCTAGTTCTGTCAATGAGACACAATTTTTTTTCTTCTACTGTTCTTTAATAAGTTTTCAATTTCGAATTTTAAACTTAACATTACAATTCGTTTCTTTGAAAAGAATCAATTTTTTCTTCTACTAATCTTTAATAAGCTTTCGATTTCGAAATTTTGTTATTACGACAATTTGTTTCTTCAAAATGAAACAATTTTTTCTTCTACTGATCTTTAATAAGTTTTCGATTTCGAATATAATCTTGTCATTACGACAATTTGTTTCTAAAAATTAAAACAATTTTTTCTTCTACTGTTCATAAATAAGAGTTTTTAAGAGATCCCAAGAAATGCTAAAAGAAACTAAGAGATTTTAAGAAATTCTAAAATATACTACAAGATACTAAGAAAACCTTGAAAATACGAAGAAATCCTAAGAAATCGTAGCAGATACTTAAAAATCCATAAAGATATTAAGAAATCCTGAAAGATCTTAAGAAATCCTAAAAGATCTTAAGAAATCCTAAGAGACACTAAGAATTCCTAAAAGATACTTGAAGATCCTAAGAAATCCTAAAAGAATCTAAGAGATACAAAAAGATACTAAGAAATCCTAAAAGAACCTGAGAAATACTAAGACAATGAAATTAATCAGAACTGACAGCAAACTATAAAAAACAATTGTTACCCATGTTTAATTAAATTTACTTTAAAGTTTCATTTTACCTACAAAAAATACAATATTACCCGGTAGTGAATTTTTACTAATTTCCAGATTTTCGATAATTTCTATTTTTGAAAATAATTTTTTACGGTCTAGTTCTGTCAATGAGACACAATTTTTTTCTTCTACTGTTCTTTAATAAGTTTTCGATTTTAAATTTTAATCTTGTCATTACGACAATTTTTTTCTTTAAATAAAAACAATTTTTTCTTCTACTGATCTTTAATAAGCTTTCGATTACGAAATTTTGACATTACGACAATTTGCTTCTTCAAAATGAAACAATTTTTTCTTCTACTGTTGATAAATAATTTTTCGATTTCGAATATAATTTTGTCGTTGCGACAATTTTTTCTTCTACTGTTTATAAATAATTTTTCGATTTCGAATATAATTTTGTCGTTGCGACAATTTTTTTTTTAAACTACAACTTTTTCTTCTACTGTTCATAAATAATTTTTTGATTTCGAATATAATTTTGTCACTACGACAATTTGTTTTTTCAAATTTCGATTTTTTCTTCTACTGTTCATAAATAATTTTTTGATTTCGAGTATAATTTTGCCACTAGACAATTTGTTTCTTCAAATAGAAACAATTTTTTCTTCTACTGATCTTTAATAAGTTTTCGATTTCGAATATAATTTTGTCACTACGACAATTTGTTTTTTCAAATTTCGATTTTTTCTTCTACTGTTCATAAATAATTTTTCGATTTCGAATATAATTTTGTCATTACGACAAAGTTTTTGTCTTCAAATTACAATTTTTTCTTCTACTGTTCATAAATAATTTTTCGATTTCGAATATAATTTTGCCACTACGCAATTTGTTTCTTCAAATAGAAACAATTTTTTCTTCTACTGATCTTTAATAAGTTTTCGATCCCGAATTCCGAAGAGCAGCTCTCACCCACCTGGAACAAAAAAAATAGTTTAATTAAAAATCTAAAAAAT